TCTTTGTATTCCTTAAAGACCACTTGGACACACTTCAACACCACTTGTTTGACTTTGTCTTCACTGCTACCAAACTCCTACATAGTCGCAAAAAAGCTTGTTGTTGATTTTAATCATCTCTTGAATTACAAGGCATAAATTATTGCAATCTTTAGCTTCTCAAAGCATTTTGTGGGAATTAATCATATCTTTCTATCATTGAGTATAATGAGAGAGCTCGATGTAAGGACAGGGAATGTTAATGCCTTGTGGAAGAACACTAGACTTAGGAGACCTTTGCAATCATCCATAAGTATAACAGAAAAGTCTAGCGTACCTTATCATTCATTTATCTTTATGGGCACGAATTTGATAATGCCAACAACGGGTCTAACACTTGATTTTACTAACTTGATGGTGCTGTTTATCTTCATGATGCGTGAGCCAAGGTGTTTAGTTTTTTACTCATCAATTAAATTGTGTGTTGTCCCAATTTCTAACATCACGATTGTTGGTTTCTCTCCAATGATCATGTCAATAGACAACATGCTCTTGTTTTTAGGGTTTAGTTGGAGAGAATAGCTTGGTTAGGCTGCCAAGTAATTGTAGGGATCCCATGCCAGCTTCGGGATGTTATTGGGACTTGCTCTAGTGGAACTTAGCCACTATGGCACTCATGGTCTTTTTGTTGGGACAGTCTCACACCCAGTGCGCGCCATTGCGGATGAAGCAAGGCCTGGGTGGTTTATTAGAGTCATGCTTAGACTTAACCTTCTTTGAGCAACCAGATGATGGTTTTTGTTGTGTATCTTCTTTCCAGTTCTGCTCTTTTTTCTATTTAGACTTGTCGCCCCCACTCTTGTCAGGGTTGGATTGTTTGGACTTGGATTGACAGGAGAAGTTGGTGAGGAACTCTACAGCTGAGATGGCAGCATTTAATGTCGCTAGACCACAACTTTCCAACTCAATCCTTACCCAATTTTAGAGCTCGTATGGCATCATTGTTGGACAAATTCTTGATTTCGAGCATTAAGATAGTAAACTCCTTGATGTAGTCAAAAGTACTATAAGATTGTCTTAGGTGATGTCGCTTGCCTCTTGCTTCTTATCTAAATTGTGAGGCACAAAGTACTTCCTTAGTTCTGCCTTAAACTAATTCCAAGTATTAATAATGTAGAAGCCCTTCTCCCTTTCGGCGTGCTTCTGCTTCCATTAGAGTTGGGTAGCATCTCATAGGAAAGTAGGAGCATTACTAATCTGGGAGTAGTCATCGATTACTCCCAAGGTATCAAACTATTGTTCTAGGCCAAATATGAAATTTTCCACAAGGGTCGTGCTCTTGATGTTGTTGAAAGTTGTTGACTTCAACAGCTTAAAGACATGGGTGCTCGTGGTATTGGTGCTAGTGGAGGGAGGACTTGTGGTGCAACGATGGACTCCCCATTGTACGACAATTCGTCCATCTTTAAGCTCACTAATCTCTCATTCGATAACTGTCTGGAGATTGGTAAAACTGCAGGCAAGGGAAGCCATTTCTCTCTTAAACATGTTGTCAAACTCTTCAATCATGGATTTGGCAACACAGGTGATTTCGTGTAACGACCCTGAAAATTTAAAATGAAATATGTGTATTAAAAATGTCAAATGCGGAAGCGAAGTCAAAATTTCGATTAACATCCCTTACACTAAAACTAAAAACGTACTCAAAATATAAAAGATCAAATTAACTAAAAGAGAAACTCGAAAGTAAAAGCTATGAATATGACTATGGAGTCTTTAGGCGTCCCCTTCGTCGTCTTCCTGCGGAACGGGCTCGGGAACAATGTCTTCTTGATCTGAAATGATTAGATAAGGAATGAGCTACACTAGCCCAGTAAGGACCCCTCACCCTATTTCCTATCACGGTATTAAAGTTCAATAATGATAAAACGATAATTCTTGAATCAACAAATGTGTGAAATTGCTTAAGGTCGCTAATGGAGCCCGAGTCTAGTGTGTTTGTCGGTTAACTGTTGTTTGGCCTATTTTACAGTTTTAAATGCAGTATGAGATCTGATGTTTTCATTTCATAGTTTCGTGTGCATATATCACTGTTTTATTGATTATGGGTTGAATGACTAAGAACCCGATGTTGTATGTTGTTTGGTTTGGCATGAATTACTGGTTGCTTGTTTGTGTGTGATTTGATGATGCTGACTGAGGAAAAGGGGAATGAAAGGTTATGTAAATTGATAATTGTATAATGTTGTCAGCCTGACTAGATATCCTAGGAGATGGTGGACGGACCGGATCCGTAGGGAACCCTACCGGGATTGTGGTCTCTCATACCGGACGGGGTATGGAGACCCTATGTGTTTTGGCGCCCATACCGGACGGGGTATGGGGACGGCCCGTTTCACCCTCATACCGGACGGGGTATTGAGGTTTATAGTTTTGGCGCCCATACCGGACGGGGTATGGGGACGGCCCTAGAATCTGATTACAAGTGTTAAAGGTTCACGGGTAGCAGGACCCCTATGGATCCCCATGGATACTAGTAGGCTGGTAAATAAGGAAAAATATGTTGTATAATGATTGAGATGCAAAAGGCGTGATAAGTATTATGTTATACAGTTCCTATGATTTCGTGATAATGATAATGTTATTGTCTTCGTATATTGTTTTATGAATTTCACCGAGGTAAGTGGATAGTAAAGAATT